ACTGTGTATCCTCTACTGTCTCTACTCTCTAAACGAGAGATATGAGTACCTAGACTGTGTATCCTCTACTGTCTCTACTCTCTAACCCAGAGATGTCAGTACCTAGACTGTGTATCCTCTACTGTCTCTACTCTCTAACCGAGAGATATCAGTACCTAGACTGTGTATCCTCTACTGTCTCTACTCTCTAACCCAGAGATGTCAGTACCTAGACTGTGTATCTTCTACTGTCACTACTCTCTAACCCAGAGATATCAGTACCTAGACTGTGTATCCTCTACTGTCTCTATACTCTCTAACCCAGAGATATCAGTACCTAGACTGTGTATCCTCTACTGTCTCTACTCTCTAACCCAGAGATGTCAGTACCTAGACTGTGTATCCTCTACTGTCTCTACTCTCTAACCCAGAGATGTCAGTACCTAGACTGTGTATCTTCTACTGTCTCTACTCTCTAACCCAGAGATGTCAGTACCTAGACTGTGTATCTTCTACTGTCTCTACTCTCTAACCCAGAGATGTCAGTACCTAGACTGTGTATCTTCTACTGTCTCTATACTCTCTACCCGAGAGATATCAGTACCTAGACTGTGTATCCTCTACTGTCTCTACTCTCTAACCCAGAGATATCAGTACCTAGACTGTGTATCCTCTACTGTCTCTACTCTCTAACCCAGAGATATCAGTACCTAGACTGTGTATCCTCTACTGTCTCTACTCTCTAACCAAGAGAGATCAGTACCTAGACTGTGTATCTTCTACTGTCTCTACTCTCTAACCCAGAGATATCAGTACCTAGACTGTGTATCTTCTACTGTCTCTACTCTCTAACCCAGAGATGTCAGTACCTAGACTGTGTATCCTCTACTGTCTCTACTCTCTAACCCAGAGATGTCAGTACCTAGACTGTGTATCCTCTACTGTCTCTACTCTCTAACCCAGAGATATCAGTACCTAGACTGTGCATCCTCTACTGTCTCTACACTATAACCCATAGAAAGCCCCTTCTTCTACACATTAATGTATTCTCTGTTTTTTTTTATAAGTAAGTGGACTTTAATATATGTTTTAGTCTCTAAAATTTCTGATGGCCAACTTTTTACAATGGTCAGTGAAATATATATATGGGTCTGCTTATTGCACTTCCCCTGTGACATGCACAGAAAAGTGTACTGTCATGACAATAAGTTTAGGAAACTGTATGATAGACAGTACTTAGTGGGAGGAGAAAGGGAGACCCGTGTTACATCCTTGATCTTAACGTGATATGATGATACAATGGTCTTGAGAGTCGGCAATATCTTCTTGCTTTCTTTTTCTAAATTTTACAAATGTGTATAAAAGACATTTTCCTCCTCAAAAACATTTAAACAAAGACAGTTTTTACTTGAAAAGATATCTGACAGACCATTTTCATACAACACAACAATGTGAGATATTTCAATACATGGTAAGGGCTTCAAACTGTTGGCAATATCTGTATAGTCCTGGATTATAATTCCCTAAAATGTTAATGTTACTAGTGACAGATGGAAATAGTATAAAGCTTACAAGCTTGTAGCACCTGCTTACTGAATTACAACATCCATCAGCCAAACACACTTTATCTGACTTTTTACTTAATAAAGCTTCCTCTTTATTTAACAAGGTATAGTCTGCCCTAAGTGGCACAGAGTCCAACAATTTACATACCTGTACCAAAAATGTATAGTTTTGTTTGGTCAATATAATCTTCAGTAACTCCTTCAAACTTCAAATATTTCAACTAGAACAGTTGCCTAGATGGCTGACCAATACCCCCCGCACACTGCAACGAGTCAATGGATAAGTTAAAGTGTTATTCTGAGAGTAATTGACATATTCTGCATGTGCCTGCATTTCTGGAAATCAGAAGGGGTGGAATACATGTTGTTCATGATCAAGAGAGTCTTGCAATACTTACATCTTTATTGAAGTAATATTTTCCACTGAAGGGCCACAGAGACAAAAAAATGTCTGCCGTTTTGTTCTTGATCTACACTAAACACTCATGTTTGTCATGGCAACGAAACCTATTTTATAATGTTTGGCATCCCCTAATAACCCTTTATACCAAATTTGGTGAAAATTAGACAATATCTAAATTTTGACTAATCAGAGGCCAGGATTGTGTTTCCGCGGTAACAGTTTGGGAAACGTCTAATATGTCCAATTATTGGCCTTACTGAATTACATCTTTTTACTAAGTTTGAATACAATCGGTCAAATAACTGAGGAGTTATGGACATTTATTAGAAAACTTGTTTATAGTGACCAGCTACCATGGCAACCAAAATTTTCAAAAAAAGAAAGGGGCATGCATATTTACACATGTCTGTCATGGCAACGAAACCTATTTTATAATGTTTGGCATCCCCTAATAACCCTATATACCAAATTTGGTGAAAATTGGACAAAATCTAAATTTTGACCAATCAGAGGCCAGGATTGTGTTTCCGCGGTAACAGTTTGGGAAATGTCTAATATGTCCAATTATTGGCCTTACTGAATTACATCTTTTTACTAAGTTTGAATACAATCGGTCAAATAACTGAGGAGTTATGGACATTTATTAGAAAACTTGTTTATAGTGACCAGTTACCATGGCAACCAAAATTTTCAAAAAAAGAAAGGGGCATGCATATCTACACATGTTTGTCATGGCAACGAAACCTATTTTATAATGTTTGGCATCCCCTAATAACCCTATATACCAAATTTGGACAAAATCTAAATTTTGACCAATCAGAGGCCAGGATTGTGTTTCCGCGGTAACAGTTTGGAAAACGTCTAATATTTCCAATTATTGGCCTTACTGAATTACATCTTTTTACTAAGTTTGAATACAATCGGTCAAATAACTGAGGAGTTATGGACATTTATTAGAAAACTTGTTTATAGTGACCAGTTACCATGGCAATCATTATTTTCAAAAAAAGAAAGGATCATGCATATCTACACATGATCCTTAATATTCCTATAAAGTTTCATCAAAATCGGTTCACAGGTTTAGGAGGAGTTAGCCGGACAAAATGTGTCTACAGACAGACGGACGGACAGACGGACAACCTGATTCCAGTATACCCCCCCCCCCTAACTTCGTTGCGGGGGGTATAATAACTAACCCTCCGTACAAAACCTAATATATACACTTTCAAAGTTTTCATCATCTTACTTCATGCAGTTCAATGACTTAACTGACACAAAGATGATAACAGACAATCTCCCTCGGCGGATTTCCTCTATCATAACATGTGTAAGTAAAACCCCAAATACATAGGTATTCAACGATTCTAATTCTTACAACTTAGTATGCAATCCCCACACTGTGACTTCAGTGACTCAAATAACCAAATATATCAATGGTGTCCTCAATTCACAAAAGTGGACACTTCCCTAGATTCAAACACTATTTTTATTGTTAAGCAGTTGTTGGTTTGATCACAAATTAAATTAGCATTTAAAAAAAAAATAAATAAATGAATTTCAACACTTGTTGCTAAAAATATCTACAAAATGCTGTTGGCTTTATTTACATTACAGTCATCTCAGAGGACATGTTCGATGTCTGACGATAAACATTCAAAAGATCAAATACTATCAGGAACCTAAATATGCACTTTTGAGTAATGGTAATTAAGAAATGAAAGAGCAGTAAATTATGGTTCTAACTTTCAATATTAAATAGACTTTGGTTCCTGCGGATTTCCTGTGAATCAGATACCCTAAGGTAGAGAATAGTACTAGCTTTGGTCATAAATTGCCGTGTTACTGCATTTGTGAGGCCATTTTTCCTCTCCATTAAGTCTGTTTATGTTTTTGATGTATTGGACATATGATCAGCAACCCTGTAATCACTATTTGTTACTATAACAAAGGCTATTGTATCGAGGTTCCTTTTGTCCTACGTTATACAACTCCCCGACAGGATTAAGTGATGAATCACTCAATGATAACCGGGTAAGAGATTGGATTCTCATTCCTACAACAAGCAATCATTCACTATTTACATAACTATAGAGAGGCTGCATCATCCCTATTGTTTTGAGATGATACTTTAAACTATCATTACTTAACTTCGGGGGTTTTTGCAATTTTGATGCAATTTTTGAAGCAAACTGTTTCTATGGCACTTTGATTTGTGACTTTTAATGGTGAAGGAGCAGGTGTGTTTACATCCCCGAAGAATCACAAACCACTCAACTAACTCCTACACCAACCAAATCTTAATTGTCAAACTAAATCCTTCCAATGTTAGTCAGTGAAAAACTTGTTTAATTTGGTCCTTATCTCACACAAGGGAATCACACAAGAAATTACCTTGATTTTTTATTAACCAGCCCACATGAAAATTTCCATTTGAAATTTTTATGGCATGATATATCATTATAACTATGTGTTGGGGAATTCTGATTGCCTTCCATACACAACAAGGTATAACTAGGACTCTGCATGTCTTATTGAGAAAGTGTACATGCAGGTGAAGTTTCATTTGAATACTTGAAGTAAAGATTACATCGAGCATCTGAACTTTTTATATACAATCTATAACATCCACAAAATTACGATAGATGTAGTCCTAGGATATGTGACCAATATCCATATATGGTAAAAAAAAACACACCGACACTTCACATTATCCAACGGACAGCCAATCAGCGTGAATGATTGTTTTAAAGAAAGAGTCAACACAGTGAGATGAATGTGTGGAGGCTAATTGCAGCAGAATGAAGAGATGTGTTGTTAGACAGTGAAGTGTATTGAATATGACACACTGGCCTACTGTAAGTTACCCCTACATACTGGTATAGTACCACATCTGTGTCTCTCATCCTCTCAACTGCTGCCTAATTAATGTGAAATATTATCTACCACAAGGTGCCCCAATGCAGGGTGAGTGTTGTATGGATTAAACACACTGACTGAATCTCTCTAGCAGAGTACTGTGTATACCATGTCAGTAGTTCTACATACATACATACCTGTAATGACTGCTACAAAGGGTTCCAACACTAAGCAATATCACAAGTCTTTTGCTACAGCAGCAAGTTCCATTTTCTGAAGGAATCAGATAAAAAGACAATTAAAGAAATATTCTGTAACTGCCGTTCATACGGATATTGAAAAACTTCTTATATCCTAGATGAATCAGAAGGTCCATATGAAATATAAGTAAACTGAAAGTATGATCTTCTAGACCAGTGGCAGCTGTGGTAACAATGATGACAACAGATGGAGTGTAAGTTGTAAGGCTCTGTCAGTGTAGGGCCTGCCCTCCTAACCTTCCCCCTCAACAAAGCTTATAATTAATACCCAGTATTGATTTCAGCCATAAAAGTATGGACACAATAAAGAAATCATTTTAATATTCCATGCTTGCATTACTTCTCCTCCATTTACAGTCTCATATAGCTGTTGCATTATGCAAACTTGTGATATGGTTGAATGATTTTCTGTCATGCTTTAGGTTGTACAGTACAGCTGAGGCAGGGGCTATTGAAATTCATGAAACCTCTGTTCCTTGAACAACTTATTACATATTACTCCGTTTCTATAATTAGATCAGCCTTCTTTGCAGTTATGCATGTTGTGGGTCGTAAAACGGTAATGTAATGTAAGATACTATCAACAAAACCAAACAACAGATATTGTAACAGGTACTGTTTTCCAAAATATAGAATCACACCACAAAAATTAAATACCAAGAAAATAAAATCCATGAACTCAAAAAACCATGCACAGTTGTTTTTAATACTTTTGCTGAAAATAAACATTAAGTTTGCTTACTGTACTGTATTGTAGGTAAGTGTGATGTTTACAGTACTGTACAGTAACAAAAGTGATCTTTTAGATGATTGGTTATTAATAATATAATCTGGGCCACACAGAAATAGCCTATCACTGCGGTAATTTTTTACCGTTTTTATTAAGAAAGTATATAACAGATATTATCAAGGGTTCTTTGTTCTTGTTTTATAAGGTTTCATTAAACACTGGACAGCTGACTGACATCTCTGTCATAAAACTATAACCAATTTGAAATTCAATCTTGCATCACTAATTCTTATCACTGCTAGACCTGATGAGAAGGGATTAGAATCACCAAGGGAACCTATAATAAGATTATTAATGTAATTTCATGGCCAGAATTAATAAAGATAAAGTTGGACCTCAGGAAACATGTAATTACATCATCTCTCTAACATGTCTGAAGAATTAAGTTAGTCCTGAAACATCAATGTGAAGCACTCCTGGTTAATTAAATCTACATGTACACTTGTATAAACAGGTCAATAAAAAACATCCTTGTTAATTAACAAGCTGGCATAGTTTGTCAATGGCATCACATTCAATATCACAGTGAGGTCAACATTACCAACAGGTCATTATCTAGATGTCACCAACAAAAGGTTGTCTATGATATCACAGTGAGGTTAACATTACCAACAGGTCATTATCTAGATGTCACCAACAAAAGGTTGTCTATGATATCACAATCAATATCACAGTGAGGTCAACATTACCAACAGGTCATTATCTAGATGTCACCAACAGAAGGTTGTCAATGATATCACAGTCAATATCACAGTGAGGTCAACATTACCAACAGGTCATTATCTAGATGTCACCAACAAAAGGTTGTCTATGGCATCACAGTCAATATAACAGTGAGGTCAACATTACCAACAGGTCATTATCTAGATGTCACCAACAAAAGGTTGTCTATGGCATCACAGTCAATATAACAGTGAGGTCAACATTACCAACAGGTCATTATCTAGATGTCACCAACAAAAGGTTGTCTATGGCATCACAGTCAATATAACAGTGAGGTCAACATTACCAACAGGTCATTATCTAGATGTCACCAACAAAAGGTTGTCTATGATATCACAGTCAATATCACAGTGAGGTTGTCTAACAATATCACAGTGAGGTCACATATTACCAACAGGTCACCAACAGGTCATTATCTAGATGTCACCAACAAAACGTTGTCAATGATATCACAGTCAATATCACAGTGAGGTCAACATTACCAACAGGTCATTATCTAGATGTCACCAACAAAACGTTGTCAATGATATCACAGTCAATATCACAGTGAGGTCAACATTACCAACAGGTCATTATCTAGATGTCACCAACAAAACGTTGTCAATGATATCACAGTGAGGTCAACATTACCAACAGGTCATTATCTAGATGTCACCAACAAAAGGTTGTCAATGGCATCACAGTCAATATAACAGTGAGGTCAACATTACCAACAGGTATCAATGTAAAGTACCATAACACAAGAGTATCAGTAAAACTGATGAATGATCCCCCCACCCCCCACCCACCCCAAAAAACAAACTCTAATGAAGACAATATTTTAACATTTGGGCAATAATTTTGTAATCAAAGATGTGCTCTTAAGAAAAGTAAAAAAAAATCAATTATCAAATTTTTTCCTGATGATAATTTGAAAGGTTTGATTTTAGAAAGTAGATTAAAGGTCCATAGGACCTGTATTGCTCACCTGGATCTTAAAGCCTAGTAATGGTATACAGCTAAGTCACTTAACCTCTTTGGTAGGGCATGACCAATGGTAAATTCTTATATCATGTCTGTCTTTCTCTGTTGATGCCTGGTAAGAATTCATATGGTAATCTCCTAAGAATCTCAACTGTTTCAAAACTATGACCCAGAAATTACGTCTGAAGGGGTGGGGTCACACTCTAGGGTCAATTCTTACATCATCAATGTGTTTATCTGTTGTCCGAAGGGGTTGGGTCACACTCTAGGGTCAATTCTTACATCATCAATGTGTTTATCTGTTGATGCCAAGCAATTCTGTATATGGTATTGGATGGGCTGGGATCTCAATTGCTTCAAAGATATAAGCCAGAAACTAAGTCCTGTAGTGTGAGGCTACACAAGACCCAAAGTTTATACTAAATGGATTCCCCTTCACTTAAGAATGCTTTAGACCGAATTTGGGCAAATTGGAATCATTCCTACAGGAACAGGATTTTGTAAACCAAGAATAAGTCACAGACAGGCTAATGCCACTGTGTTACCATGTAAACCAAGAATAAGTAACAAACTAGCTAATGCCACTGTGTTACCATGTAAACCAAGAATAAGTAACAAACTAGCTAATGCCACTGTGTTACCATGTAAACCAAGAATAAGTCACAGACAGGCTAATGCCACTGTGTTACCATGTAAACCAAGAATAAGTCACAGACAGGCTAATGCCACTGTGTTACCATGTAAACCAAGAATAAGTCACAGACAGGCTAATGCCACTGTGTTACCATGTAAACCAAGAATAAGTCACAGACAGACTAAAGCCATCATGTTACCTTGTAAATCGAGAATAAGTAACAAACAAATTCCATTGTGTTACCCTTTAATTACCCTTTGGTTTCTTTAGTCAATGGAACTTTTTCTAAAGATGCAAGGCTTTATAACAACAAAACATGAAGACTTTTCTGAAATAAATGTTGAGCAGATCACAGAGAAGGTAGATAGTATACTGTATACCTTTCTATTGATTTTCTTCCTGCACAATAAATCTGCTCGGTCTGCAATCTGTCTGTCTGTTTGTGACCTAACCGTGAGAGGCGGACAATAAATCCTCTCCATATCTCCAACTACAGAGCTGAAATGTCTGACAAGGACAGGTCTACAGCCTACAGCAAGTCATTAGGAGGTGGGAGACATTTAGGCGGCCAAACAGATCACTCACTCTCTGGGTACCAAATCACACCAACTTATTGGTAACAACATCAATGTTACCCAACAGAACAAACAATGGCAGCACACAAATGGGCTTTGTTATAAATAGGCCTTTCTTTCCCTTTATCTTTTTTTTTTAAAAGGATGTATCTTCATTGGAGGCATTTGATATCTACATTTAAACTCAGTGAGTATAAAGATCGGTATTTTCTACACAGATTGAATGTTATATGTTGTGGAAAGTATGAGAAGATGGGGAAGTGAGTGCATGTTTTATAGGTTCTGAAGACACTATGTGATTGGAAGAGCCATGTGGATAGATTGGTAGGAAAGGTACATTTTAGGTAGAGAACAAGGTGGAGAGTTGAAAGGAAGGGGGATGAGGGAAGGGAGAGTTACTGGATGGTAGGATTGACAGGAGGGTAAGAGAATGAAAGGGGGTATTGGAGGATAGGACGAGAGAGAAAGGTTGGGGAAGAAGACAACTGGAAGTTAAGACAGGAGAGGGAAGGACATTATTTGACATCAGAATTTCAGGATCCTTAAGGGATTGAAAATCCACCTATATTATTGTAAACATCCTCCCAAAACCTTGTCATTATGATGAAAATTGTAAAAATCATTTCATCCAGGTAAAATAATTCTTGTATATGAGACTGGAAATTTTTATGTGCTACCCAGTGATAGATTTTTCTGTCTTGTCCAATCTGCCTGCTTCCTTTATGTGATATCTGATGCCAAGAGACATCACGATTAAAATCACATCATATTCAATTGTCTGTCTGAAGTAAACCCCAAAGGGAGGTAATCTAGTCAAATCTAAGAATTTAGAAAGTAGATGTTATTACAGAATGTCTGGCTTTCACTGAGAAATATTCATTTTGTATTTATATACCAATAACAAAATCAAGCTCTCTCACCTTGACAAACATATACAGGTAAGAGCTTAAGCTCTCTCACCTTAACGAACATATACAGGTAACAAACTTGAGCTCTCTCACCTCAACATAGTAACAGGTAGAGCTCTCACCTTAATATACAGTCTGGTTAACAGATACCTGTGATTTTAATCAATGATAAGTCAATAAAACTTCAATCAGTTGTAGTTAATTAATCTTTTTTTTCCTATAAAATACTAGAAATGGTTAACCTGCTCCCAGAGGGCTATAACGTAACAGTAAATGACATGGAGTAGACAAATTACAGGATAACATAATAATATCTGCATATATGTGGTAAATGTTCTACTGAAATGTATGTGGTAAATGTTCTACTGAAATGCATGAGGTAAATGTTCTACTGAAATGTATGTGGTAAATGTTCTACTG